CCCCAAAACCCCAAAACCCCAAAACCCCAAAACCCCAAAACCCCAAAATTAAAAAAATTATTATAATGTTTAAAAATAGCCTCAAAATCCTCCCTTCCTTAATCCAAGCAAATCGCTTGTCTCCCTTCAGCAAGCTCCGGATCTCTGCTTTCCAGCTGAGATGCTTCAGCCAGAAGCAGAAGGCTTCTTCTGATAAGCCAGAAAAAATGACAGCTGAAGAGAGAGCAGAGAAAAACAAGGAAGAATTTAAAGAAGAGCTGATGGACCAAGGCGATATGGATTGGAATATATACTTGGATAGAGAGGGTCAAAAGAAGGATACTACTGAGCTGTTGACCAAAGAAGAATTAGCTCTAGCAATCGAGATCCTTGAGAATGAGGATGTTGAGAAATACAAACTTTTAGAGATCACTGAAATGGCCGTTAGCAAGTACAGCGTTTATAAAAAGATGTAAGTCCGAACAGTGATCGTCTAGGCTACTGTATTTTAATATACCACTGGTGATCAGCATCCCCTTGATCTGAGAATTCTTGATTGATATGACTCATCCCAAAGCTAGCTTACTTTATGGCTTATTATACACAGCAGATACATTGTTCTTCATGAACGCATACATGGTCTATAAGCTGCTTAAGAATGCTGTTGTTACGATTCATTATGTAACAAAGTCAGGGATGTTCGAGATCCAACACCTGCCTATTTTTGGAAATAATCAAGAGAAATATTTGGAAACTGTAGCTCCAGAGCACATTTCCAGAACCCCAAATGTCAAGATCGATCCCTTCGTTGCATACAGAAATAATTCTAATGGGAGGAAGTATATCACTGAAGGAATGTGAGGCTGGGCTGATAGACATTTCTTTGACTCTGTTATTGGAAGAGCTAAAGAAGAGAAGGGGCCTCAAGTCTCAGAGAAGATTAGAAGGAATAGAGAGAAGAGTAAAAAAGGTAGTCCATTTGATTAAAAGAAAAAGAGATTAATATTGATCAAGGAGTTCATAATATTCAACATAAGTAAAAATTAAGGGGTTTTGGGGTTTTGGGGTTTTGGGGTTTTGGGG